CGAACATCTTCACCAAGGCCTTGGCGCCTGGTGACCACCACAGGTTCTGTGTGCAGTTAGGACTTGTTGACACTGGTGCTCGCTTGTAGTAGCTTTGTTCTGCTTGTCATTGCATCTATTTGTATATGTGAACTCTTGAACTGGCCTTGTCGCCATTTTGCTTGTGCTCGGAACGCGTGGTGATCTTGAGATCCACCCTGAGCTTGTCTTGTTTCTTATCTTGACTAGTCTTGTGACCGTTTGTCTGCCTTGCTTGCTTTGATGCCCCTCACTCAGCCTATGGGGGTGTGTCAAATGTTATACATTATCATAATAGGCTGTAGTGAGATGCACTGTAGAGGGTACAACTCTGTCTTGGGTTGCTATTTGTATCACCCACCTTGCTAGTCAATCCATTCGCTATGCGTCACTCTTGAGACCCCCACCATGCCAAGCCCCTCGAATGGTTTTGGGGCAGGCTGGAAAATTGTCGTCCGAATCTGTGCAGAAAATTGCTGAAAATTAGCTAGAAAGGGCATGCCGGTCTACATGAGAGAATACATAGAAACAAAAACACCGATAAATTAGCTCTTGCACTAAAAGTACTTAAAAATGTGGGAAAAAAAAAAAAAAAAAAAAAAAAAAAAAAAAACAACAACAACAACAACAACGAATTCTGAAAGCCTGGTTCCCACACATCCTTCCCTGTCCTCCATTCTCATTTCTCCTTTACCCATTTTTGCTTACATCTACATGTTATCGTCTATGTTCTAACTACATTGCCACTCAAACAACCAATCAAGTATTTTCTTTTACCGGTTACAACGATGAAGATCATGCAAATTCCAACAATAAATTGATGCTTACGCATTATTATCAGATATATTATGATATAATCTATATCTGATAAGAATAACATTCTCTCACAATATTTGAGATTTTCTTGCAACTTGAGTATCCCCGGGTAAAAATCAATGCCTGTTATCAATGTGCGCCAATAGCGAATCATTCTGCCATACCCATCGTTAGAGCTGGTCCACACCATTGGGTCATAAGGGAGAGATTCCTATCTGCACATTCGTCAGACAGAAGTGCATCAGGGCTATTCCAGGTATACCACGGCTTACGCTGGTCCTTCGACAGGGCTGGTTCAAGCAAATGTCCCTCTCTTTCTCCCATTCACTGCTGCAGCAATGTTGATTTAATGCCACTTTGACAGCGTTTGACGACAATAAAATATCTTGTTCTGTTGTTATCGTACACCTAACGCGCTGCAGCGATGGCTCATATAATGCGCCGGTTGAGGCCACAGACTCGACTGTTTCTTGGCCTTCAGCGGTCATTTAGCTCCACAGCAGCCGAGACGGGTGAGAGGCCGTACAATGCCTGTCGAGGTCAAACGCGTTTTATCAGCTGACCAGATGTCCCTCGATGAATGCGCATGCAGGGGACCCAAACTTTTTGGAGTCCGTTGATATTTATTTCGACAAGGCTGCTGCCATCTGCCATGTGCCAGGGGACATCCTGGGACAGATAAAGGTATGTCTTTCGAAAATAACTGCAACTTTGTCCCGGGATATGTTTTAAAAGAACTGTTGCTGACCATCTTGTATTCTTCGCAACTTCACTAGGGATGCAACAATGTTCTCAAGGTTCAGTTTCCACTGAAAATGTCGAATGGCACAGTCGAGCTGATCGAAGGCTACCGAGCACAACACTCTCATCACAGGCTTCCAGGTTAGCCTGCTAAGTGTTTTCTTGCATTACAGGCTAAGATGTCAAGAAGCTAACTTTCGTTCGTCTTATCGCCGTTTTCAGGCAAGGGAGGTGTCCGCATGGCCCCAACCGTGGACGCGGATGAAACCGTGGCCCTTGCTGCACTCATGACATTCAAGTGTGCTGTTGTTGATGTTCCGTTTGGCGGAGCCAAGGGAGGAATCAAGATAGGTAAGCAGTCCCAAGAAAACGCATTCATCTGTGTTTCCGTAGAGACAAGTCGGGTGCGGACTCACCTTTTCCGTTTTGTCCAACACTGACCATATGCTGATGATATGAAGATCCCAAGAAGTACTCGTCGTTTGAGAAGGAAGCTATCATTCGACGGTACACCACGGAGCTTGTGAAGAAGAACTTTATTGGCCCTGCTATTGTGAGTCAACCCACCTGTATCAAGCGTGTGCGTTTTGAGTGCCGATTCTGCCTGACAAAACTGTTTCCTGACCTGCACAAATATTCGTATCTCAGGACGTCCCGGCCCCTGACTACGGTACAGGACCACAAGAAATGGCGTGGATCAAGGTGGGTCTTCTTTTAAGCTGCATTTGCAGTGTTGTAACTCAATCTGACCGCTTGTATGGCTGACTTTCAGGACACCTACGAGACTTTGAGGCCAGATGATCTCAATTCGTTTGCTTGTGTCACTGGAAAGCCCATCGAAGAGGTATGCTCGTAATATCTATCTGACGATCAATGAAAGTCTAAGAAACAACACTTACATTCGTGGAAATGTGACTACAGGGAGGCATCCGTGGTCGGACTCAGGCTACAGGAATGGGCGTCTTCATCTGCCTGAGGGAGTTCCTCAGCAGCAAGGTGCATAATACGCAGTGTTGAGTGTGCTCATGCTGTACCTCTCAATAACGTCTCTCACAATGGCTCTGCGGTTTCTTGACAGAACTGGATGACGAAGCTGAACATGTCAACGGGTGTCGAAGGAAAGTCATTCATCGTTCAAGGTTTTGGAAACGTTGGTCGTCATACCATAGACGTACGTCCATCTTCGTTCATTTCCTGTTCCTTTTGTCCACTATGCAAAAAGAACATCAAGGCAATAAGCTATGACCCCCTCCTGCTCGGTCCACAGGCTATTGTCACAGCGAAGGGAAAAATCACCGCCATTGCTGAGTATGATGGTGGTTTGGTGGATGAGACTGGGAACGGCCTTGACATTGAAGGCATCAAGCAATATCATGCACGGAATGGCACCATCACGGGGTTCCCAGGAGCCAAAACTGTAAGAACTCGTTTGGGTTGCCAACATGTGCTCTCGACCCAATAATGCTGTCCTTCCTAACTCTTGAAAGTTGGTGTTTGCAGGTCTCTGATCCATTCTCCCTACTTGAGCTCCCTTGTGATATCCTCATACCGGCGGCACTGGAAGGCCAAATCCATTCAGGAAATGCCAGCCGCATTAAGGTAGAAACCAAGTCTTTGACTCTTCAACTTCCAGCTAAATACTGCTGAGGACTTTATGTTGTGATTCGCGTGCAGGCCAAGGTTGTCGCGGAAGCTGCAAATGGTCCTGTCACTCCTCCAGCAGAGAAGATCATGGAAAGCAACGGAATAGTTGTTCTGCCAGACCTTTTGCTGAATGCTGTAAGTATGAGAATCTTCAAAGTCCACGCTTTCCTAGCATTCTTCCTTGTCCCTTGCTGCACGTCTCAAAAAAGTACTTAGTCAGAAAGCATTGCCTGGACTGTAGGGTGGTGTGACGGTGTCCTACTTCGAGTGGCTGAAGAACATCAACCACATTCGCTTCGGGAGGATGAGCCGACGCATGGAAGAACGGGGCAAACAGGTGAGGCTCACTGACCTGTAGCGAAAAATTCCTGTCAGAGTTAAGTTTTTCACGGTCAAGCACTTGGTATAATACTGCTCCATTGTACTGAGGCTTTTTCTGTTCTCAATCCCAGGCCTTACTGGATGCTTTGGAGAAGGAGATTGCCACCGGTATAAAATTCACTGACGACACACGTCGTTCCATCATTAAAGGGTGCGTTTCCTCTCCTCTGCAAAACTGTTTTCTCGTGGTTGTGCTCCATCTTGTTTCCGCCATGTATTTTGTGTTCATGGCAAATTGTTCTTCATTTTTCGAGAATTTATTTGTTTCAAGCGTTTGCTCGTTCCCCACCGCTTGAGCAGCAACACTGAGGAGGATTTTGTGTGGTCTGGCCTTGAGGAGACAATGATAAACGCTTGGGATGAAGTCAAACGGGTTGCTGAAGAAAGGGTAAGAAAAGTTGAGATATATCGAAGTCCTTTCATACGAAATCAACACACCTAACAATCATCTCTTTGATCTCTTCAGGAGTGCAACTTCCGCACAGCCTCGTACGTGATTGCCATCGAGAAGATTGCCACATGTTACCGTGTCAGTGGAATCTTTCCCTGAACCGCTCTACTGGAGTACTGCCGCATGTTGATTGGTATTCTTGGAAATTCTTGTAGCCTTCCCCCAGGAGAACCAAGTGTTGCTGCAATTTGCTCCACCGCAATACCAACATCAATGTGGAATTCATTAAAGCCAGCAGCTAAAATAGTGACCCCCCCCTTCTAGTTGGGTCCACTTGAAAACACAAGTTTGTTACGAACGTTTGAAAAGTTGACGGCCTGTGCGTTTTTACGTTTTTTCATCCCAGACGAGTCTTGATCTGAACGGAAAACATGATGTACTTGTTTACAAATCTGATTGGTGGCGATTTTCACCCAGATTCCTGTACGAATTTGGCGCAAGGCTGCAATCCCACATTCAACAGAGCAGCCGTCGTAACTTCACAAGAATTCCTATGTGCAAAAAACAGCGCACACACAGGCAAAATCCAGCGCGCACACAGGCAAAAACTTTGGTGGTACCACTCATACTGCAATACCGGTAATACTTTTCATATGGATCAAGTACTAGCTTTTGACAGAATACTGGAACATACTATCGCGAATGGTGCACTAACACATTGATGTATGATGTACAACAGGCAAGTGGAACCTAGTACCAGCTCCTTTGACTGGTTATGCATCAAAGTAGACCTAAAGCTAATGATGGCTCTCTGAACAGACCTCCCGGTGGTGAGGGAGAAATATCTGAGGCAACCGAAGGTTCTGAGGACACCGAAGCCTGAGAGGAGAGAGAAGGCTCGCTGTCGAGGGTTCTCCCAGAGAAGAAGCTGGATGATGAATGCGGTGAGAGGATGCGGGGAGGTGGGAGCGAGTGGCAGTGTGGAGCGGCTGCTGTATCCCGAACCCATTCATGTGCTGAAAGGTGGGGATGAGGGGGAGAAGGGGTAGTAGAGGGCGTCACGAATGGGGAAACTTGCATCCCCTAAGGAAAACGAATGCGCCTCAAATGGGAGCACACTCACGATGTGCATGACAGAGCATGACCACCCAGCTTGACTGCATACCCAAGTGCTGCAACTAACAACAGCAAAAAAAAGAAAGTCACTCACCTAATGCTTGGCTTGTAGTGATTCGTCTGGTGGGGTCTTTGACCAGCATGGCTTGAAGCAGCTCTTTGGCTTCCTCGGAAACATGCTTCCAGCGCGCCGATGAAAAGCGAGGGGCTTTGGTTCGAATGGCGTTGTAAATGGCCTCGTTTGACGCAGCCCAGAAGGGAGGCAGCCCGGAGAGCAATGCGTAGACTAGAACTCCTGTGCTCCACACGTCTGCTGGAGGGCCCCAGATGCCGTCTAGAGTCTCTGGGGCGAGATAGAGGGGTGTGCCATATAGCTTGCAGGAGGCAGCATCTGGAAACAACGGGGTTGCAGCAGGGTAATGCAGCGAGACAGAGAGGAATGTGAGAAAGATAAATATTTATGGAACAGGTGATGTAAAGAATATTCAAGTCCACCAGCAAGAAAGAACACATAGACCCCACTTGCTTATGCATTCTTGGACATCCTGAATCGTACGTTCCAAAAACCGCACAAACCATGACCAAACAAGCAGGCGAGTATCACCCTGAAAGCGAAACTTCAACAGTTAAGGCAAGCTCCAACCACCCTGTCCCTCTTCCCCCCATACTCTCCACTGCCCCTCTGCTCCCCTCTGGCCCCCCCAAAGAAGACTTTGACGAATATCATAAAACAGAACCACACAGTGCCAAGCAAACACTTTAAAGTCCCCCAGTGACTGACCAGGTTCGACGTCAGTGGAGATGCCAAAGTCGACGAGCTTGATCTGCTTGACACTGCCGGGCTGCAGCAGCAGCACGTTCTCCGGCTTCACATCCCGGTGCAGCACCCCGCACGTGTGGCAGTGGTGCAGCGCTGCCAGCAGCTGGCGGCACACGGGTGCTGCCATGGACTCGGGCAGACGGCCGTACTGGCGCATGAAGTCGAAGAGATCGCCGCCGCGACACAACTCCATTACCAGAAAGATGCTCTGGTGATGAGGGAGAGTGAGATGGGAGGGAAAGAGGGCATATAGGTGCTGCCATGGACTCGGGCAGGCGGCCGTACTGCCGCATGAAGTCAAAGAGATCCCCCCCACGACACAACTCCATCACCAGGAAGATACTCTGGTGATCAGGGAGAGTGAGATGGGAGGGAAAGAGGGCATATGGGTGCTGCCATGGACTCGGGCAGGCGGCCGTACTGCCGCATGAAGTCGAATAGATCCCCGCCGCGACACAACTCCATCACCAAGAAGATGCTCTGGTGATAAGGGAGAGTGAGTGAGAGAGAAAAGAGCAAGACGTTGGAGGGAGAGGGGCAGCATGGCATGGCACGGCATGGCATGGCATGTCACATCATAGTAGCATGTTATGGCACAGCACTGGCTCACCTTATCATCCTCACACGCAGCGTGCAGCTGAACGACATTGGGATGCCCCGACACCACCTCCATTGCTGCCACCTCCCTCCTCAGATTGCGCGCCTCGTCTGCGGACTGTGCCGTGCCATGTCGTGCAGGGGTGGGGTGGGTGGAGTGGGGTGGGGAGGAGTGGAGAGAGTGTTGGCAAGAAATGAGGGCGCAGGTGGAGAGGACGAGCATGAGAGGCGCAAGCACCTGAACAACGTTGGGCTGCGTCCATCGTCGCCACCTCCCGCCTCAGATTGCACGCTTCATCCGTTGACTGTGCCGTGCAGGGGTGGTGGAGGGCGGGGGGGGCGAGAGAGGAGGGGAAAGAGAGAGAATGGAGGGAAGAGGGGAGAGAGTGTTGGCAAGAGGACGATGGTGCAGGCGGAGAGAACGGGCATGAGAGGCACGTGCAGGCAGGCCACATGGCAGCCTTCCCATAGGCTGCAGTGAGCATGCCAATTCCTCTCAAGACTGCTTCTGTCAACGCTTCCTCCTCTCCACGCCTGCTCATCCACACGCACCTTTCGAATCCTGCCACTTCCTTTATGCGCACCTGAATGCTCCTCCAATCGCACATGAATGCACCTGTCTTCAATTATACGCACCTGAATGCTCAGCTTGTCGATGATCTTGCAGGCCAGCCTCGCCCCACTCTCCCGCTCCACACACACGCGCACCGCGCCAAACTCCCCCCGTGCCAGCACCTCCCCTCCCATCTCAAACCGCTCCTCCACGTCAGCATACGGCCGGCCCAGGATAAACGCCCTGAACACGTCAGCATCCACAGGTGCTGAGTCAGCACCTCCTCCCGGCCTTACAGCCTCCCCAGACGCACTCTTCCCGACACCCTGCCTCCCTGCTGCGCCTCTCCCTTCCCCTCTGCCCCCCTGCTGCTGCTCCCCCTGCGTCCGCCCCATGCTTGCGCCTCTCCCTTGCCCCGTCCCCCGCCCTCTGCCCTGCCCTGCCCCCTGCGCTCTCCCCTGCCCCTCACTGCTGCTGCTGCCGCTGCTGCTGCTCTGCACTGCACGCACCCCCGCCCCTCCCGCCCCGCCCCTGCCACCACCTGGCAGCCTGGACCCACCATCGCCCTCCGCACCGGCCCCACTCACACTCTTCCACCTCGCCTCCCCATCCCCCGCCCCACGCCGTCCCCCGTCTCCATACCCCCCATCCCCCCTCTCCCCTTCCTCCTCCTCCTCGTCGTCCTCCTCCCCATGGTCCACACACAGCCGGTCAAACTCACCCACGCCAGCACACCCCACAGACGCCGAGTGCGGGAACAGAGGCATGGGAAACGGCGCCATCCGATTGGCCCGTGCCAGCGGGTTAACTGCCGCGTCCAGCCGCCCGCCGCCCGGCGTCGTCGGCCGCCCACCAGATGGCGTCGTGGGGCGGGCGCCGGCCGGCGTGGTCGGGCGGCCGCCAACCGGAGTTGATGGCCGGTCCGTGATGACCGTTGGATCGACTCCGGCTATCCTGCCAACGGGCGTCAACGGCCGTTCAAACGTTACCGACTCATCAGTGAACGCCCCTCCTCCTGCGCCTCCCCCGCGCTCCCCCACCCTCCCCCCTGGTGTCACTGCTCGTTCCATGCTCCCATCGCCTCGCCTCACAGGCGTGGTGGGCCGCGGCACCGCCCCCACACCACCCCACGCCCCTGCTGCCCCTGCTCCCCCTCCCCCACCCCCGCCATCGCCACTCCCCCTGCGCTCCACGAACGACTTGGGTCGCACCTTCCCCCGGAAGCTCAGCCGGTCCGCCCTGTCCGCGCGGCTGCCCGCCTGCCCCTGTGCTGCGCCGCCCACCCCGCGCGGCACCGCCGTGTGCGGCCGCGCTGCTGCTTCCACCCGTGCTGCTGCCCCCAACCGCTCTGCCTCTACATCCAACCGCTCTCCTCCTGCATTCAACCGCTCTGCTTCCACATCTAACCGCTCTGCTGCGCGAGAGGTGAAGGCCGAGGGCGGCCCCCCTTCCACCCCGTGCAGGGGCGTCGTTGGCCTCTCCACCCCGCGCCCCACCCGCCCCTCCCCGCGCGCCCCCACTGCCGCTTCCCCCCGCCTGGTGGGCGTCGTAGGGCGCTCCCCCACCCCCTCCGCGCGCAGCCGTGGAGTGCCGCCCCTCCCCTGCCCCTCCGCCGCCCCCTCCGGCCACGCTGCCGCCCCCCCCGCGTGGAGCGCCCCGTCCTCCGCCTCCTGCCTGCGCGTGGGCGTCTTGGGGCGCTCGAGCGCGCCACCATCAGCGCGCAGCAGCGGCGAGGCGGGGCGCTGCCCCGCGAGGGGCGTGGAGGGGCGCTCCACCACGCGCGGAGTCACTGGCGCCTGCACCCCCCCGCCTACTGCTGCTCCGCCTCCGCCTCCCCCACCCGCGGCGGCTGCAGCGAGGCGAACCCGCTCAGCTTCGTGCAAGTCCATGCGCGCGGGAGTCCTGGGTCGCCCCGCCACCACCCCCACGCCCACCGCCGCCACCCCCACACCCCCACCAGCACCGCCGCCGCCGCCCATGTCGCGCCTGGGAGGCGTCGTGGGACGATCCGCCGGTGCCGCGAACCCGCCCGCGCCCAGTCCCCCCGCGCCTGCGCCTGTACCCTGCGCCTGCCACTGCCGCGGGCTGTCCTCCTGCTCCGCCACCCCCGGACCTCCGTGTGACTGCACCCGCCCCACGCGCGTTCTCGGCCTGTCCGCTCCGCCGCCCGCAATTCCCGCGCCTGCTGCGCCTGCCACCTCCCCCCCGCCACTGCCTGCGCCGGAAACTCCCCCTCCAGATGACCCCGCGCCGGCATCTGCGCCGCCAGCGATTCCGCGTCCTTTCAGCCGCAAGGCGGCCCTCTCCGCCACGGCGCGCGCGCTGGCGGCAGACGCGCCCTCCCCCGGCCGCACCTGCGGCGCACTCGCGCTCTTCCGCAGGGCCCGCGACGCCACCGCCCCCGCCACAGTGCGCAGGCCGCCCCCGCCTCCAGGGGGAACGGCGGCTGTCGTACTGCCTCCGCCACCAGCAGCCGCAGCGGCGGCGGCGGCAGCAGCGGCGGCGCTAATTCTGACCTGCGCTCCTGGTTGAACTGGCGGAATCTTCCCCGCTGTCATCGGGCGGCCGCGCGCTTGCGCTTGGCCTGGTTCCGAAGCTCTCCGCGCGGGAGGCAGGCCTGGCGGAGCAGCTGCGCCATGCGCGGAGGAACCGCCGGAAAGGGGGGAAAGGTTCGGCGGCGTGTGCGGAGGTGGGTGTCTCACTGCATCTAATTTCCGCACAGGCTGTGAGGCGGAACGCGCAAATCCGCGGCCCCCCGCGGTTGCGCCTCCGCCGGAAGGGCTCATCCCCCCCGGTCTACCGCGCCCTGACGGCATCCGGCTGGGGCTGGCGGAATCGGAGCGCGAGGATAGCGGGGAATGGGGGAGGGCGCGGGAATGAGGAGATCCGCCGTCATTCATGGGATCCGTGAATTCCGGCCACGACGCGCCGCCGCCGTCGGACCTAGCGTCGTCTAAGCTAAGTGAATCAACACCGTCGGATCTACTGTCCACGTCAGATGATCGGGCGGGCGGATTGCGCCCGCGGGAAGTTGCGCCTCGCGCGGAGGTCTCCGCGGGGATACCGCTTGAAGCGGAAACGCTCCGCGGAAATGCATGCCGGACGGCGGAAGCTCTGGAAACCGCAGAGGCGACCTTTCCGCCGCCCGAACCTGACAGCTCTGGGAACGCAAACCCGCCCGGCTCGTCACCATGGTTCGATTCGGGTTCGGAATCCGAACCTAGTCTCAGATTTTCGTGGCTTGCAGAGCCTCGCAAGGCGGAACCGCCTGGAGCATGAGGACTTCGGGGCGGTACGGATGGGTGCGAGGGTTGCAGCCGCGCTTGGGATTGGGCCCGCGGTGTTGTGCTGTGAGAGGTGTCGGATCCTGATTGGCTCTGTGGTCTCGCCTTCTCGGATTTGGACGTGGGGAACGGCCGCGATAACGGACGATCCGCGCCGCGGTCGGGTCTCGGCGCGGACGGGGGATGAGCTCTAGGAGCGGTCTCCATTGACGAGTATGCAATGCGACAAGGTGAGTGCGGGCATCATCGAAGCTATGGAAGGTATGGATGGTTTGGAAGATGGAGAGTCCAGTCGACCTTTGGTGCCAAGCCGATGGAAACGTTGGTCTTGTACGCGTTAATGGCGGCTTGACACAGCCACGGACACGTGGTTGAAGCCGCATGAAGATTGTGAAATAAATGCTGATTTAAAATGAGGATTAGGTAGACATCACCTATTGTTTTTTCCCGATTTATTCAGCCAGAGGAGTTTCTTTAAAAACTTATTAAAACTCTTGACATGTAGATACATCTCGGCGCGGAAGGGGGATGAGTCAGAGATAGTAATAGATTATGTATGGAAGACAAAGAGGTCAATTATATCCACTGTTCGTGTACCAAGTTATCAAAGCTTGATGCCAGCAAAAAACCGTGTTCAAGCGTGTTCCACTTTCAAATATATGCTTAGTCCTGAAGCTGCGAAGAGCTGCAAAGATAAATATGTATTTTGCCGACCTGTTGAGGTGGCCTGATAAGTTACATGATTCGATCTCCTCCTGGCACTTACAGAATCTCGAAAATGGCGAAACACGCCCTGAACTTGTCGATGCTCGTTAGAATGCAACGTGTCCCTTCATACATCACAGAATTCCTCGCCGCGTCACGGCTTAGAGACTTCCACGATGCCAATGCCAGGCCGTTCCGAGGCGCTTGTAATTCGTCCGAATTCAACGCCGCTCATACAGTCAGCTGCGCGGGCTCTACATGCTTTCCTCGTCATTCATAACTTGCCCGTCATCCCACATAGCGCGAGTTCCTTTTTGCACGTCTAGACTTGCGGTTGCCCTTCCACAGGAGCGACAATGATGGCTCGGTCTATTCCGTGTTCGTTAACCGGGTCGCTAGACGGCCATGCACGCGTCGCAGCATCGAGAACCGGTACGCCGCCTGAATGCGGCCCAGCGCGTTCCCGCCACGTGCTCTCTCTTCCTTCACTAACCACACACGCGGCGGCCTCGGCTTCTCAGGCTCTTCGATGCGCTTCACCTCCGCCGCAGCGCCTTTCCGCTCCGCCTTGCCGCACGAACTATCACCGCGTAGCCGCGCAATCCCGGAGCTTTGAGGCGGCCAGCGTCGGAAGCACGACGAGAGATCTTCCTTGCTCGCAAACGCATTCGCATTCGCATGCGCAGCCAGCCCGGCATCGCGTGCGGTGCGCAGCCATTCCGCCAGACGCCGCAGATCTCGCCGCAGCCCTAGCGGGCCAAATAGCCTCCGCCGCTCCTGTCGCCGACGCGGCTGCTAGTCTGGCAGACACGTCCCCCGCCGCTGCCGCCGCTGCTGCTGCTTCGGGTGATCTGGGGGTGGCTGGAGGCGGAGGACGGTCGGAGGTGACGTGGCAAATCGTGGTTGGTGCAATCGGTGAGTTGTGAGGGAGTTTGAAGCATTGAAGCAGCAGACAGAGAGCAGACAGAGACAGGGAGCAGACAGAGACAGAGAGCAGACAGAGACAGGGAGCAGACAGAGACAGAGAGCAGACAGAGACAGGGAGCAGTCAGAGACAGAGAGCAGACAGATCAGGCAGAGAGCAGACGGAGAACGTGAGTGCACCTTCCTCTCGGCTCACCTCACCTCCATGTTCTCGTCTAAGCGCCTCTAACCTGATGCTCCTCATCCCCCCTATCCACCCCATCCTCCTCATTGTCATCACCCCGCCCGCTGTACCATCCCTGCCCGTGCCTTCCCCTCTGCCCTCGTCCCTGCACCAATCACCACGTGCCAGCTGGCGTGATCCCCTTCATCGTGGCGTCCATTGAGTTCGGCAAGCGCATTGTGAGTCGCCCTCCCTCCCTCCCTCTCATACTGCCTCCCTGTGTCTCCCTGTGTGTCTCCCTGTGTGTCTCCCTGTGTGTCTCCCTGTGTGTCTCCCTGTGTGTCTCCCTGTGTGTCTCCCTGTCTCATCACCTGCCTGTCGAAATGATGATGATGAGCGATAATTCGCTTCCTACTGTTGTCTATCGTCCATCCCTCACCGTCCACCTGGATGCCGGTTGCACGTCATCAATTGCATGGCGTTCATCCAACCTTGGGTGAAGCCCCTTCCACTTTGTTGCTCTGCTCCGCGCCTCTCCCTGCTCCCCTCTCTGCCTGCGCCTCCCCATTGCAGCCTTCTCATTGCCCATGTGAGCCCTGCCAGATGTTTGACTCACTTCTCCTCATCTACCGCCTCCCTCCCTCCCTCCTCCCACCCTCCCTCCCTCCGTCCCTCCGTCTCCTCTCTGTCCTCGTCGGATCCCCCCACGGCTCGCCTCTCCTGCCAGGCGGCCCAGCGCCGCTGTGAGCAGTGCCAGGGATCGGGGCTGCAGCTCGTGGGGCGCTTCTACCGCCGCTGCTCCGCCTGCGGTGAGTGTGAGGGCGAGGGTTAGGGGCGTGGCATGGGTGGAGTATTGAGGGGAGTGGCATGCATCTGTGTAAAGGCTATGGGATGCATGTTTGTAAGGTTTGTTGCATGTGTGAGTGTGCTAAGGGCTGTGGCTGGCATATGGAGTGATTCGATAATGCAACCCCTCATATGCTTCACCATCACCACCTACTCACCTGCACCACCTGGGGGGGAGCTCCTTTTGCGGCTCTGCCTGCTGTGGTGGGTACATAGGGCTCCCTCAACTGCGTGCCATGCATGTCTGGGTGGATGTTACAGGGTATTGCCGGGCATGCAGCTACGTGCAGTCAGCATGTTCCTCCTTGCTTCTGTTGTGCTGTGCAGGCGGTTTCCTGCCTTGGCAATCCTGGCGCAGGTTCTTCTTAGGCTGAATGCAGGAGGGAGCGTCTGTACTACTTTTGCTACCTGGGTATGTTGACCAATTTTTTTCCTACAAGCAGAAGGGAAACCGTTCATTTGTACTGTAAGAAATGGTACAGCAACTGGAACATCTCAATGCAGTTGGTCTGCGGCTTGCCTTGCCATGCCACCATTGGTGCAGAGGCTAAGAGGGTGGGCAAGAAGGAAGAGAGAAGGGTCTACCGTATTACCACCCATCACCCGTGGGTGATGTGATGTCAGTCTGTCAGCGTGCCACCACTCGCACCTGTGTGTGCCTGGACAACTTGCCAGCATCAGTTGTGCCTGGACATCACGGGATGCCACTGAACTGATTGTTCACAGTGGTGTGGTTCCGTGCGTGTGCAGGAAGGAAAAGTGCCGCACAACGTCACGATACGAGGAATGTGTAAACATGCAAAGCTTGAATGGCCCTCCATGGTGCTATATCATGAATCAGTACACTAGACAATAAACTCCTCAGTCCTCCTCATTCTACCCTTTCCAGCAAATGCTTTCACTTCTTGCTCGCTCACCATTAACCACAGCAGTCTTCTTACCGTACTTTACCTCAATAATCAAAACGCCCGCATCTATTGTTAAGCCTCTGCCATAGCCCCTCTATTCACAATCTGTCGCCACAACTGTTATCTATATTCGCAATCAGTTCCCACCTCCCAGACAGCACAGGGCATCCCCCCTGACCTCCACTCAACTTCACTCTTCCTTCCTTCCAGCGACCAGGCCAGGCCACCCTCCCTGCAACTCTCCTTGCCGATTCGCTTGAAGCTGTGCCTGGGGCTGTTAATGCGCCTGCCTGTGCACCTGACCACCCCACTGATCCATCCACGATCCCCACACCTCCCTGCACCAACTTTGTGGCACTTCCCTAAAAGCATCTCTCCTCACCTGTCTCCCTGCCGCAATCCTTACTCCCATCTCCCCCACTCCTCTTCTTGCCGGGGCATGTGAGCTTGTGGGAGGGCCAGTGCGCCTTTTGGCACTCTTCGCTGCAACACGCCGCCTTGCCACACCCACCGCAGCTCCTCAACTTCTCAACACCGCCCTGCAGGACCACACACACGTCTTTACACATCTGGAGCAGCAGCAGCAGCAGCAGCAGCAGCAGCAGCAGCAGCAGCAGCATGGGTGCTCACAGCAGCAGGGGCAGAAGAGCCGGCAAGGATGGGAGGGGAGGCAAGGCAGTAGCACGGCTCCCCCAGCAGCATCTCTCTCAAGCATGCCACCACATTGACTCCCCCCGGCCATGCATTCAGATAAGCCGGCTCCTCCGCCTGCTTGCCAATCCGCTTGTTAGAGCTGCTGCTACCAACCTTCGAAGCACGATTGCTGCTGCTGCTCCCAGTGCTGCTGACAGTGCTGCTGCTGCTGGCAGTGCTGCTGCTCCCCTTGGCAGACCCACGCTGCCCCTGCAACCCCTCACAGTACCTCGGTGCGATTGCTGCCTCGAGAACCCACCTCATGTCACGCTCCGCTGCCCTTCTCTCTCCGTTCCTCCCGCCTCTACACTCCTCGCTCTCTCCCGCACTCCCCACATCGAACCTCCATGCAGCCTTTGCTGAGGAGTACCACATCCGCACCTCCTCCCACACCTCTCCACCGTTCTGCTGATCCGCCTCACCATCCCAGCGGCCTTGCACCTTGGACTGCTTCGCCTGCCCTCTGCCGCTGTACTCTGTCTCAAACTCATCACCCATCCCAAAAAGAAAATGTGAGAAATACGCTGCCATGCGAATGAGAAAGTACAGAGGCACCTGCTCGGCTCGCCTCAGCAGCATATGCAGGTTCAGGGGCCTGGGCAGGCGCAGTGGAAAGTCCAAGCACTCAACGACCTCGTCAAAGCGAGGGGAGGATGGCGGGAAGACCAAGAGCACGCGGGAGAACAGATGGCTCACGGGGCGGTAGGCAAAGTTGGCGATGAGAGCAGCGATGCACACGGAATGCATCAAAGTCCCGAAGCAGGTGCTGCAGTGGGTGCATGCAGGAGGGTTCATAAAATACCCCGCGAACCCCACCAGGAAATCCACATCTGCCCGGCAGCGAACGATGGGAAGCTTCCTTCTGGGCGGCGGTAGCATCGTTGCTCTCTTCTCGACGGTTTGACGTGCTTCAGCTCTCTCACGCGCTCTGCTCTGCATGGATTCCGCCCAACCTCCTTTCTCGACTGCCCTGGCAACTTTCCTCCTCGCACTCCTGCTGCCCCCGTCTGCTTCCACTACCCCACGCGCCATGCGCTGTAGGGCTTCCTCACCACTTTCTTGGCCTACTGCATCAGCTCCTTCTTCCTTTGCGTTCCTGCCGCCCCTTGCTGCTTCAGACGTGTCATGAGGAGGGTGCTGAGTCAGCTTCTCAGCCGCCTCTCCATGCTCCTCCACAATCCCAAGCCCAAAACACCTCTCCTTTCGGTTCATAGGAAAATTCACAGCAAATTCGTCGCCCTGAGGCCACTCTTCCCACTCCAAAGCAGCGCTGCTTTCTTCCAAAGGCTTGGGAATGGCGCCGAACCTGACCAGAAGGCTCGGAAGGTCCCGAAGCGGGTGGCGCATGGGGCGGACGTTGATCCGAGGGCCATCCTTGAAGCACTGTTTCTCCAAGATGGAATCTGAGCCGTAGATTCGGACCCACTGCGAGATGCAACCGACCCGGTACGTGAGTGCAGCAACCACAGAATTCGTGTTGACAGGCACGAGCCTAATGGCAGGCAGGACTTCAGAATTCATATCGATGCTTGCAGCAGCAGTAGCAGGCGCAGATCCCTCTTCACCTGCTCCTGCCCCTCCATTCATCCCACTTCTCTGCTTCACGCCTTGCTGCAGCAGCCTCCTCCTGGCCACCAGAATAGCGGCACTCTCTACCCGCATCTTGCTCGCAGTGTTGCCATCATGCAAAAACAGCTCTGCATCCTTCCAGTGCTCTGGTTTAGATAATACTGTGGCGACAGCAAGGGCAAAATCGGTTGCAGTTATGCCACTCACATGCATACCCTTCGGAGCACTGCTGCTGCCAGAACATCTCACGCTGCTGCTGCTGCCCTCAATGCAGTGGCTGCAACTGAACTCCCTCCCTTTCCCCTCTCCATGCTCCAAAATCCAAGCCAAGCCATCCACATACCTCTCCCACACAGGTCCCTTCAATTTATCCTTCCAACTCAACTCCTTCCTTACCCTCCCGCACTTCTCAGCGACCCCATTGACCCCTGCCTTGCCCTCTGCCTCGTCCTCTCCGTGTCTCCCATCCTCCTTCCCATGTGACGCCTGCCATAAGCCCTTGCCCTTCCCATGCGTCTTCTCAGCACCCTTCTCCTCAGCCCGCCCTCTCCCCTTCCCCTTCCCCTGTGCTTTCTCAGCACCCTTCTCCTCAGCCGAACCTCTCCCCTTCCCCTTCCCCTGCGCTTTCTCTGCAGCCTTCCCTCCAGCTCCCCTCCTCCCCTCTGCATGCTCCTTCTCCAGCCCCCCCGAGAGAAGATGCTGCACAGAGAACCCAAACCCTTCCTTCAGATCACCACTCTCCTTCACCCCCAGCACCTGCACCAGCATGGACGCAAAGCAGTCTTTCTCCTCCTGCCTGCCCGCCCCCAGCTCAGCCACAATCGCTGGCCAGATTGACTCAAACGAGATCACGTGAGCTTTCCATAGTGTCACAAGGCGGGGGGATCTCGCCAGAAGCACGAGGAATGTGGAGAAGCTGACAGCACGGCGGTAGGCAGACCAGCAGCTGCTGCAGCGCCAGCAGCCCGACCATGCCGCAGAAGGGGCACCAGCGGCAAGGGCAGCAGGAGCAGTAGCAGCAGCAGGAGCAGAAGAAGAAACAGCAACTGGAGCAGCTGTTGTAGAATACAAAATAGCTGGCAGGCGGGATCTGATCCTCCCCAGGTCCATGAGCACGCCCACACGAGGCTCAGCCATCCACTCGAGAAGCATCTTTTCTGCACAAAGGCGAGGCGCCCTTTCCACCTTCCACGCAAACTGCTCTTGAGACGACAGTCCGTGTCTCCCCTGTAGCGCCTGCACTGCTGCCCCTTCAGAGTATTTAAAAACGGCCTGGTGGTGCTGCTGCTGCTCAGGGGGAGCAGCGGGAATGGAATGAGGCTGTTGTTCCTGCAGGTGGCAACGCAATTCTTCCAGGTCTTTGATCGCAAGCGCTCGCTGTGCTCGCTGGCTCAGTGCACGCTCAAAGCAGCACACACACAGATCCTCATCCCACCCACTCGTCACGTCCAGGAAGTGAACCATGTTCGCTCGAGACAGCAGCTGAAGCGGCTTTAGACTGTCCTCGGTTCTTGCTTTCTCTGCTCCGCCAATCCCTGTCGGGGCTCCTATCATGTGCCCCTCATCTTCCTTGCTGCTGGGCTTGGTAGGGTCCAGTGCGGTGGTAAAATCAGCAGGTGTAGCAGCAGGATCAGTAGGAGACAGGGAACAAGAAAGGCGAGGAACTGTAGTTGCAGATGCAGGAGTAGGAGCAACCTCCAACTGCTCAACTTTCACCTCACCCTTATCCCGTCGTTTTCCACTCGCTTTTCTCAAGGAAGCCACGAAAATGGTTGAACCTGCGCTAAGCTTGGCTTGCTCAACGGTCGATTCAGGAGAAAGGCACACTTGCTGCCCGAGAGCCATAAAACGAACTTGCTGCTTCCGATTGGCAAAGTCTTGCTCCGCCGCTTTCAACCCATCATGACCTCTCTGCTGACGTGTCTCGCATGGCAGGCAGCAGTCTGCCAGATGGAACTGAAACATTCTGTTAAAGACGGATAACAGAAGTTCGTCAGGAGCAACAGTGAGAGAGACAGTCACATCTGATTCAGTCAGCGAGCGATTGTTACAGAAGCAATCGTTTTCATCCGTGATGCATCCTGCGGTCTCGCCCCTCTCATTCGTACGGAAAAAATATCCGCGGTTCGCCAAACAAGCTGGGATTTTGAAATGGATCATGAAAGCCATGTCAGATGCTGCAGGATTGTCCGGGCGTGTTTATCATCCGTTGAAGCCAGCCACTGATTTGAAGGCAGTAGTGCAGTGTTGGACTACTGAAGTCCAAACGAGACTCTCTGATCGCCGGGTAAGCTGGTGCTATCGTAGCAACGACATATGACGTCACGGAACGCTCTCCCAATCATGCGATGCTTCATCAAGTGTGACCATCGTCCCGGGGAGAATTACCACCCAAGACCAGTCTGATTGGGAAGAGAAATGCTCGAGGATTCTCTCTTCTCGCATACTGTAATATGCTGTTATCCTGGGACCTCGGATGCCGTATGGACTTGTTTCGTCTTGTCATGGAACGGGCCATGATGTACAGCCAGAATAAAGCGCGATCTGACCGTCCGTTTCGAAATAAGTCAGATCGGGTGGAAGTGTGATTCTCGGAGCGATGCGTCTGCTGACGGAAGCTATCGTCTCGAGAAAACATTGATTGTTGCGTGGTCCCAGCCCAGATGTTGCCATGCCATGGCTGAAATACGAATGCCTGACGAGTCTTGGGACAATCGAAACAGCTGTGATTTTGAAATTGCCAACGGATGTACCGCACCTCGGGATTGCCCAGCTCGATGGGCGTACCGCGAACGTGGTAAATATATGAATGCGGTTCAATGAGTTTCTTAGCGCTATATGCGTTCTCAATATTCATATTCAGAGGATTTCTTACACGTTGTTACGAGTGCAATTGAGTGAACGAGCGAGAATTGCACTATCGAAGCAAGAGTACAATGAGCGAAGGCATGAGCGAATAATATATAGCGAAACTACAGTGGTAACGGTAATGTGGGAAATTGAGGTGCGCTACGGGCCTAGCGCCGAGGGTTGGAGAATTGTCGAGGCGGAGGTCCGGAGCGCGGGTTACCAACCGAACCGTTAGGTTGGGTCGCGTCGTGAATAGGGGCGGGAGTCGTGGTCGAGGCGAGCGTCGTGAACGGGTAACGTTCATGGAGGGGTGCCGATGGCGGGAACGGTTGTGCACGCGGTAAGCAGGGACGCGAAGTAAGGAAAAGGAATTTTCCTTACACTACCCCCCTCCCCAAGGAGGCCCCTCTTACGAGAGCGCGTGTACATCTCGGAAATCTCGGCTGCGCAGATACTCAGTCAGGACAGGGTGATTCTCAATTCTATCCAGGGGGACCCAGTTGTCTTCGGTGGGCGTGCGGTCTTTCCAGCGGATCCGGAATTCGATTCTGCGGGCTCCCCGTGGGTCACGTACTCGGTGGCTCAGTATTTTCTCAGGGGTGATGATTGGCTCTGTCGGCGGTCGTGTCATGCTGGCGGGGCGGTTGCGAGGCAGTTGGCTGGTGGATGGCACGTATGGGCGAAGCAGGCTGACGTGGAATGACGGGCTGACGTACCAGTCAGCAGGGAGGAGGAGATGGGCGGTGACGGGTGTGATCATGTGGCTGATGCGAAATGGCCCGCAATATCGGGGGCAGAGTTTTGGGGTGATGGGCAGGCGGAGGTTTTGATTGTCGAGTAAAACTAGGTCGTCGGGCTGGTAAGTGACAGGTCGGCGGTGGCATCAGCGTTGCGTTTAGCGATGATGTTTGATTTTTTTATTGCTTCTGCTGCTCGGGTCCGTGCTGCTTGCAGTATTTATGCGAACTGTTGTGCACGTGGGACTGGGTTGTCGGGATTCGGGGTCATGGGTACTGTGGGGTCTTGTCCGTAGTTCAGGTAAAACGGTGACTGTTGGGTCGTGGCGGATGGCGAGTTGTTGTACGCGAATTCGATGAGTGGCAGTTGCTGTTCCCATGTGCTTGGGTCGTCGCACGTGGCCCGGATGAGCTGTTCCATGGTCTGATTTGTCCGTTCTGTCTGTCCGTCGGTTTCGGGGTGTTATGATGAACTAAACTGCAGTCGCGTGCCGAACTGCTGCCATAGGTTCCGCCAGAAGTTGCTGGTAAATTTAGTGTCGCGGTCGCTGATGATCGCTGCTGGTATCCCGTGTAAACGAACGATGGTGGCGATGAAGAGGCGAGTTGTTTCTTCGGCTGTGATTGATTTCTTGCATGCTGCGAAGTGTGCCATTTTCGTCAGCCGATCGACGACGACCAAGATCGCGTCGTTTCCACTTGCTCCAGCTGGTAACCCCGTGACGAAGTCCATCGTCACCTGCTGCCAAGCACGCTCTGGGGGTGGTATCGGCTGCAACTGTCCTGCCGGTCGTTGTCGTGACGACTTCATGAGCTGGCAGGTGGGACACGACGCCACGTGTCGTTGCACGTCAGTCAACATTTCGGGCCAGTAGTAATACCGCTGTAGCTGCTGCCGTGTTTTTTCTATCCCGAAATGTCCCGATGTAACTCCGTCGTGTGCCTCCTGTAACAGTAATTCCCGTAGCAGTGTGTACCCTGGTACCCAGATGCGGTCGGTCCCGGCTTTTACGTAATAGACTCCCTTTGCTGCTGCGAACTGCTGCGAATTTCCTCCTGTGAAGAATGGGTCCGTTTGGTACCCGTGGGTAAATAGTCCTGTCAGTAGCGGGCTGGTCTGGGCGAGTAGTATCGCGTGGATTTGGGCAGTGGGGCGGGTCAGTGCGTCAGCGATGTTGGATGCTCCCTTTTTGTAGGTGACCGTGTAGTGGAAGTTTGACTCGAGGAAGTCGAGCCAGCGGATCTGTCGTGGGTTGAGGTGGGGCTGTGCACGGAGGTACTGTATTGATCTGTGGTCTGTCCGTACTGTCACATCGCGAGCATTTCGCGGTCGTGTATCGGGTAATTTTTCTCGGCGGATGCAGCTTTCGTGACTCGTAGGCGATGGGCTGTAGGCCGTTGCCGAAATCCTGTAGCAGTACGGCTCCAATGGCGATGTCGCTTGCATCGGTTACTACTTCGAAAGGGCGGTGTGGGTCAGCGATGCACAGTACGGGCGGTGAACAGAGAACAGTTTTCAGGGCAGAGAAGGCAGCATGCTCTTTCTCCCCCCACGTAAAAGGGACCCCCTTCCGCAGCAGATCCGTCAGTGGGGCTGTTAATTTCGCCATGTCGGGGACGAACCGACGCACGTAATTAACGAACCCTAAAAAACTTTGCAGCTCCGTGATGTTCGTCGGGGGGTGCCACGCTTTTACCGTGTCCAGCTTCTTTGGGTCGATCTCAACTCCAGCCTCCGAAATAACGTGCCCCAAAAACTCTAACCTATCCTGGAAGAACTCGCACTTGGAACCTTTGGTCAGTAGGCGGTGCTGGTCTAAAACCTTAAAAACTGCTTCCAGATCTGCTAAATGCTGCTGCTTATCACGACTGTAGACGAGGATGTCGTCGAGGTAAACTATCACGCATTTATCTAAAAGTGGCCTAAACGCCTCGTTCATGGTCATCTGGAAGGTTGCCGGTGCGTTGGTCAAACCGAATGGCATCACGGTGTACTCGAACGACCCGTACCTAGTCCTAAATGCTGTCTTGGCGCAGTCTGATGGTTCGACCCTAATCTGATGGTAACCTCCCCGTAAATCTATTTTCGAAAAAAACCCGTGCTGTTCGCAGTTGGTCGATCAGTTCGTCGGCGCGGGGAATGGGGTATCGCGACTTGACTGTTACCCTGTTCAGTGCTCTGTAGTCGATGCACATGCGAAACCCTCCGTCCTTTTTCGGCGTGAACAGTATCGGTGCGGCGAACGGTGACGAGCTCGGTCGGATGAATTTCTTCTGTAACAGGTAATCTAACTGCTTCCTCAGTTCGTCGAGCTCGGGTTGTGTCAGTCTGAACTGTCGTTGTACGGTTGGCTGTGCCCCCGGTTCTAACTCTATTCGGTGGTCGTGTGCTCGCTGAGGTGGCAATCCGTCTGGTAAATCGTCCGGAAAAATCCTCGGGTACCATTGCAACAGTTCCTGCAGTTCGGGCGGTACTACTGCCAGTAGTTTCTGAAAATCACTCGGCTGCTCTGCTTCTCCTACCAATGCTATATCTATTGCGTACACGTCAGCTCCAGCGGCGACAGCTCGTTTCATCGTGATGGCGTTGACGTGGACCGTTGAAGACTCGGGCGACTGCCAGCGTGGTAGCGAAACCCAGTTACCACTACTTCGCACAGTGCAGCTACCCGTCGTCCAGTCGATTCGCGGGTTATACCGTCGCAGCCAGTCACGTCCCAGTAAAATGTCGTGCCCGTCCAGTGTCGTCGCGAGCATTTCCTGTGTAAACCCAAAGTTCCCCCCGCAGCGGACTTTTACTCTCTCCACTTTCTCCCGTATGGCCAGCGGCGTGCCGTCGACTAAGCGTGCATCTATCTCCGGTAAACACCGACTAAGTGTCAGTTGCAGCTTCCGTGCGGTTGCGGTATTAACTAAGCTGTGACTTGCTCCTCCGTCGATAAAAATCTTCACTGCTGCTCCCTGTATTTTCCCGTGAATCAGTACTGGGCAATCCGTCACTGTACCCTCCTTATTCGTCCGAGCCCGATCGATAGCATGAATCGATACTGTGACTCGGTGAGGGTCGGTGAGGTTGGGCGAGCAGGCAGTCTCGTCTGTAGTTGGCCCGATTCCTACTGACTGCTGGCGTTTCCCTGCCTTGAAGACTCCCTCCCCTGCTCTGCTCCGCGGCGTCTCAGCTCCTCTGGGCACTCACTCTTGCGATGGCCCGGCCTATTGCAAGCAAAGCAGCGCCCCTTAAACGGCGCGGCAGCTGCGTTCGTTGCCACGGCATGTACAGTGGCGTGCTCGGTCGGTCCCCGAGGGCGATGTCCGTAGTAGGACCCCGGTCTCGGACGGCGTAAAATGTCGATTTTCTCGGCGAGCGCGAGAATCTCGTTGAAATTCGAGAGTCCGCGTAGCATGATTTCGTGCGAGATGTCCGGCTTCAGCCCTCCGGCGTAACGGTCCACCCGCTCCGCTTCGTGCATGTAGCCGACTTGCTCGCATAGTGCGAGAAAACCACTCGTGTAGTCTTGAACCGACCCGAGCTGCCGCCAAGTACGCAGTCTCTGACGCGCCGAAATAGAAGCCGCGATCGGTTCGAAGCGCGCCCGAAGCCCTGCGCACCACGCATCCCACGTGCTGTATTGGGCGGTTTCGCAGAATGAACTCCAGGTGACATCTGGACCCGTGGGCCCTTCCTCTTGCGACGGTGGCTCGTAGGCGCGTGGCGACGTCACGATGACTCGCCACCAGTCCATGGTGGGGCCCCTCAGCAGCGAGACGGCGTATCGAATCTTCGCTGCGTCCGACTCGACGTAGTTCGCGTCGAAAAACACGTTCATCGTGAAGACCCACGATTGAACCGTCGGACCTCCACGCTGGCTCGGGTCGAAACAGGGCGGGCGCTGCGGCTTGAGTGGCATTGGTGCCATGCTGGCGTGGTCGCCACTTGTCGTCGCAAATTCCACGTGCCGACGGGCTTCACGAGGTTCCCGCGGGCTTGGTGCGACCCTGTTCCTTTCCATGCCAGACATCGAGTGAGCGGCGCCATCACTGGCTGCGCCTGAGCGCTGTCCCACGCTGTCGTTCTGTGTTGGTGTGCCTGATGAAATGACGATCGGCTCCTCCGATTGTATTCACCGTGGTGTACATTTGCAGGTGCGTGTGGTGGAGCTGGAGTATTCACCGTGGATTGCTGACGCGCAGAGTCACGTTCCGCCGTGAGCGTCGCAATTTCGAGCGCCGAATCCTCGACTTGGCGCACGAGACGGTCGAGTTGCTCCTGCGTCAGTGTCGCGAGAGTGAATTCGGCCATGGCGGGGGTGTCGGGCAAGCTCAGCGAGAGCCTCGGTCGTGGCCGTGCGTGCTTACGAGAGAGCACTTCGAGCGGCGGTGCTTGTTCGCTGAGAGACGTCTACCCCCCCCAAAAAAATTGAGATAGTGGGGAAACGAAGGTGTGGGTGCGGTCCGAGAAGAGATCGTAGGCTCTGAATACCAAGTGTTACGAGTGCAATTGAGTGAACGAGCGAGAACTGCACTATCGAAGCAAGAGTACAATGAGCGAAGGCATGAGCGAAGAATATATAGCGAAACTACAGTGGTAACGGTAATGTGGGAAATTGAGGTGCGCTACGGGCCTAGCGCCGAGGGTTGGAGAATTGTCGAGGCGGAGGTCCGGAGCGCGGGTTACCAACCGAACCGTTAGGTTGGGTCGCGTCGTGAATAGGGGCGGGAGTCGTGGTCGAGGCGAGCGTCGTGAACGGGTAACGTTCATGGAGGGGTGCCGATGGCGGGAACGGTTGTGTACGCGGTAAGCAGGGACGCGAAGTAAGGAAAAGGAATTTTCCTTACACACGTTTGATCTACCGTAGAATATTCCTATCGATTGGAAGCTAAGCATTCAGAATAAGACACTGCCTATGGATAACCCATGAGCTAGAGTCAAAATTCCGAGGAACAAGCCAAAGTGAGTGGGAGCAGCAAACACGCTGGTCCCAGCGATGACAAAATTAATGCGCCCACAAACATGCAGGTTTGCATTTAATTGCAATGCATGCAATGGAAGGTGGTTCAACAGTGTGAGAGTCTTGTTGCTTCTTGGTTGCAAGACCCAGCATGCGCCCTTCCGCGCTGCTCTGCCGAACCCCCAACGCCACAAGACCGGTAAAGAAACAGTACGCTATTGAATTCGCTGTCAAAATCATGGCTGGGGTGGGGGACTGACTGATACAGGGAAGATGTTGCTTCCACCGGTGTGCTGCTGCCGGAGTTGACTGGCATTGACCGGCGTTGACCGGCTTTCTTGAACCACGCTAACCAATGGGGAAAATTAGAGCTGAAGACGGGTCACACACACAAGTATGTGCCACAATGTGTGGGCAGGCAGGCAGCACAATCCGTGGATGGGTACTGAACCACCACTGGCAGCATGCACTGCAAAATTGTGCAGCTTTCATTGTAGAGTGGAAATCACTTCTGTGAATGTGGAGTCGGCTAGTGAAACGGGAGCGGGTCGCAGAACATAGATGACACCTCCTCCAGAAAAGACGAGGGGATCGGGGAGGTGCTTTCTCTCAGGCCACCGCTCCCCATGCCGCTGTTGCTGGTGCTGCTGATGGGAATGTTGAAGCTGCTGGGGAAGCCGTTGCTGCCTGTGACGTTCTTGCTGCCGTTCTTGCTCTTGCTGCTCTTGTCATTGTTGTTGCTCGTGTCGATGCTGGTGGCTGGAAGGGGCGTGTTGCTGTTGCTGCTCGTGCTCTGCATTCCCCGGCGGACAGAAACCCGGCCGCTGCTCACACTGCTGCTGCGCATATGGGTGTGCGTGTGTGGGTGCATGGGCTGGTCTGTGTGCATGTGTGTGGGGCCCATGGGTGTGGGGATGTGGCAGTGCGAAGGATGTTGAGCTGGCGGCAGCAAGGCATGGTGGGGGGCCATGGCAGGGGCGGGCATGGCATGTGCATGCATTGGGTGCATGCGTGCGGCATGGGGATGCATGTGGGGAAGCGGAGAGGCAGACGAGGCGGGAGGAGGGAAGGCAGGGTACGGAGGAGGGGGGAAGGGCGGCCAGAAGGCGGCGGGGGGAAGGCCCACGTGGGCAGGCCACATGGGGTGGTGGGGCAGGTGCGGGTAGTGCGCTGGTGGTGGGGGATAGACAAAGGGAAAAGGAGAGGGTATGTGAGAGGGAGGGAGGAGAGTGGAGCAGAGGTGCATGAGGGCAGACAGGTGACATGTGGCAGGGCGAGGAGGAGTAAAAGAAGAGAAGAAGAGTAACTGCGGCAGAGGTGCAGGGGCACGGAACGAGACGGAAGGAGGCGGGTAGAAAGGAGATGCGGGGAAAGGAGTTGGCATGGCGTGAATGACAGAAGCTCTCACCGGCAGGTGAAGGAAAGGACGAATCCATGAGAGGGCGGCCCTTTCTCCCATGCTTCTCACCCCCGCCCCTTCCTCCCACACCTGCCCCACCGCCACTGCTACACCCCCCTCCACTGCCCCCTTCCTCTTCCCCCTCGTCGCCCTCGCCCCTCACACCCTTCCCTTGCTCTCCCTGCTCATCCCTTTCCACGGTTACTTTCAACCCCTCCGCATCCCCCTCCATCCCTTCGTCCTCTTCCTCCTCTTCCTCCTCGTCGTCCTCCTCATCCTCTTGCTCCCCCTCGTATGAGTGGCTCATGTAGCCACGGGGAAGGTATGGGGGAGGAGGGTAGAGGTGGGGGGGGAAGTAGGGGAAGGGAGGGAAGGGCGCGGAGAGGGGCGAACGGGGGTCTGCTGCACGCGCTGCTGCTGCTCTGCTCCCTGCCGCTGCTGCCGCTGCTGCTGCTGCTGAAGCTGGTGATGAGAGCGTTGAGGGGGGTGGTGGCAGGTGGTGCGTGGGGAAGGGTGGCATGATGGGGGGCGGAGGGAAGAAGGTCTGTAGGCATGGGGAGGGGTGTGGGGACAGGGGGGAGGACAGGAGGGGGAGGACAAGGAGGGCTGAGTGGCAATAATTGATGACAGGGGAGAGGAAGGGGTGAGAGGGAGAGAGGGGAGAGGGGGAGAGAGGAGTACAAACGGAGGAGAAAGATGGAGGAAAAGATGAGAGAGGGTGACTGGGACGAGGCGAGAGGGAGGGAGAGGAACAGAGGAAAATGGAGGGACGGAGAGAACCGAGCAGGAAAAGGAGTGGGGACGGGAAGAGGAAAGGAAGGGAGAGAAAAGGGAGAGGAAGAGGGAGAGGAAGAGGGAGAAGAAACGGGAGAGGGAGCAGGAGTCGGAGCGGGAGAGGGAGAGAGACGAGGAGAGAGATGATGTGCGGGAACATGAGAGCCTACCTGGGGCAGGGGCGGAGGCGGGAAGAAGCCTGCAGGCAGCATGGGGTAGGGTGGCGCCACGTGTGCTGCTTGCCTTGCCTTCCCCCGCCCTGCCACCTCCCCCTCCTCGCCCACGCTGCTCCCCCTCCCAACCGCACCCGCATGCGCATGGGAGTGGGCGTGGGAGTGGGCGTGGGAGCGGGGATACGCACTGCCATGCGTGCGTGCATGGGGGGAGGCGTGGGCGTGCGCGAGGGGCAGGAGCGGGTCTGCATGTGCGCCAGGTGAGCCATACGGCAGAGCACCGTGCGGGCCAGCGGGCTTCCCGTGGCCGTAGCTCATCACCCCCTCCAACGCCCCGCCCGCCCCCAACGTCCCCATGGCCCCCATGGCCCCCACGCCTGCCTTGTGTGGCGAGCTCTGAAGCACGTCTCTGCTGTATGCGTGCGCATGGGTGCGCGCATGCATGCCCATGTGCGCGCTCCCTTGCCCGCCCTGCCCCATCTGCCCGTGCTGCCCGTGCTGGCCGGGGTGGGTGTGGTGTGCGGAGGTGCCGTGGGCGAGGTCTCTGAGGCGCGGGTCGGAGGCGAGCAGCTTGTGCAGATGCTTGTTCAGCACGCCCTCTGCGAACTCCACCACGTGCCGCCTGGGAGGACGGCACAAGAGGCACAAGGGGCATAAGGGGCGGAGGGCAGAAGGGCAGAAAGCAAGGAGGAAGGATGTGAGAACGGAGGATGCGAGGATGTGAGGAAAGAGGAACACGAGGGGGTGCGAGGCTGTCAAGAGTGGACAGAGCAGAGTCGAGCGCGCGGTGGCAAGGCTCACGATTCACCTGAACCCAGTTCCTGATTTCACCTGAAGCACCTGGTGGTTCACCTGAAGGAGTTGGCCTGGCCGGCGGTGAAGTCGGGTGTGGACTGCCAGAGCGTGTGGCGGCGCGGCTGTGGATTCATCTCCTTGAAGAACTGGGGGGGACGCGACACCTGGGGTTGAAAGGTGGGGGAAGGGGGAGACACGGGAAGCGGGGGAGAGGCAGAGGGCGGGAGTGGGAGAGACGGGTTAGGGGAGTGAGGAGGCGAGGGAGTGAGGGAGCAAAGAGAGGAGGACCAATGGAGACCATGTGATGAGTGAGGAAGCGAGGGAGTGAGGTGTTGAGAGAGGAGGTGCAAGACGACAACGCGGAAAGTGCCACCAGTGAGCGGAGAGGCTACACGGAGGGAGCCCCAGATAGAGCCCCCTCTTCCTACTTGTCTTTCCAGCGCCCCCCGCCCCTCGATCGCCCCCCATCCCTCTATCCTCCCCTACCCGTCCACGTGCCCCCGCCCCTCTATCCGAGCCCGCCCCTCTGTGCGCGCCCGTACCTCGATTTCGAGCACGCCGGGCTGGCCCTTGGCAGTGGAGGCGCGCAGGAGGGCGATGTCGCCCCACTGCACCTCCACCTTGCTCTTGAGCCCGCCCTCCAGCACCTCCCACACCAGCTTGCGCTTCGCGAAGTAGCACTTGGCCACCAGGTCGCCCTCGTACTTGCTGCGCCTCTGGTGCCGGTGGAGGGGCGGGAGGGTGAGGGGGAGGGGGAGGGGGGTAAGAGGGGAAGGAAGAGGAGAGGGTAAGTGGTTCTCCTCGCGAAGTAGCACTTCGCCTCCAGGTCGCCCCCGTACTTGCTGCGCCTCTGCACAAGGTGGAGGGGGTGAAGGGGGAAGGAAGGGCCACGTAATGCATTCCGCCAGGTAACACTTAGCTACCAGGTTGCTGCGCCTCTGCCGTTATTGGACGGCGGGGAGGGGAGGGACGGAAGATGAGGGGGGAAAGTGGGGCGCGGGAAAAGGGGCGGGGGATGAAAGGAGGAAGGGGAGTGGGGAGGGAGCGAGTGAGGGCGTCAGCAAAGGAGGCGAGGGATGCGATATGGAAGGAAGAGAAAGAGCACGCGAGGAGGACGTGGGAGGCACCGTTGACGGGGTTTAAAGAGGGTTTAACGGACCAGGGGTGACCGTTATTTCTAACAGCATTGAACGCCGCCATGCGTGGGATGGAATGATGCCGCCTTGTATCCCGTCCGGAACGCTCACGCACTCACGACATGCCACCTCAAGTGACACATTCCGGCCTGCAAGCCCCTCGAACCCACTGCGCCCGCGCTGCACTACCCACCCCCCACGCGCACCTCCCAGGTGCCGATGGTCATGCGCGTGGCGGGGAAGTTGGACGCCTTCAGCTTGTCCGCTGGCGGCGCCGGCAGCGCCGGGAACGGCGCGCTGAACGCCGCTAGCGCGCCTTCCGCCATCAACGCGCCGTCGGGGGACGCGAAAGCCCCGTCCGCCGTGGTTGCGCCTCCGCCGAACGCCACTAGCGCCGGCATAGCCTTGCCCTGCGCGTACTGGTGCGCGGAAGCGCTACCGGGTCGAACATCTTCGTCCCGCGCGCGGCTTCCATTCCCCCGCGCGCTGCTGCCCTGCGCCATTCCCCCGCCGCCCAGTTCCGCCTCGCTGCTGCTACTGCTGCTGCTGCTGTTCATCCCCCCTCCGCCCATCCCGCGCAACGTCCGCTGCGCGTCGCCTCCGCGCATCGTATGCGCTGGCCTCGCTAGTTCTCCGCCTTCTCCGACTTCTCCGCCTTCTCCGCCGCTTGGTACGCCCGTCCGCGCCTCTTCTGTCATATCCACGTCGTCAGAACCGTCGCCAGCGTCGCCAGCAGCGTCGCCACCAGCGCCGCCGGTGCCCTGCGACAGCCTGTGCGAAATGAACTCCACCAGCGACGGCGTCTTGCGAAGCGTCAGGCCGAGCGGGCTCGCCTCCGCGACAGCCTCGCGTGACACTAACGGGGGCAGCTGATCCTCCCCGCTGCCTTGATTGTGACAATGTGGAATGTGACTGTACGGGGGGTGACAGTCCGCAAGCGTCGCAGCCGCGGGTTCCCCCGGCGTTGAAGCATGCGGGGCGGTTGCGCAGTCAAGAGAAACATGCGCCGAACCCCCGCAAGGCGCGGCGGGCTTCGCGGCGTGTTTGGCGGAGATCCGGTCAGGCGGGGGCGCCATGGGCGCAGGCGGGGCAGAAGGGGTAACGGCGGAATCCATCTGCGCGGAAGGGGAGTTAACGGGGAACGCGTGTCGGAGGAGAGTTGTAGAGAAATGAATGGTGACGGCCGACGGACGATCTACTCCGGGGAGAACGGGACGACGGGCCATGTTGAAATCATTTTTGAGAATCCTCAAAAGAAGAGACAGGCATCGCATGCTAGTTGGGGAAATGTGTATATAGATCGGAGGAGAGGGGTTGAGAACAGATTAGGGCTCATCAATGGATTAGGAATTACCGCAAACTGGTCAGAGATGACCCTGAGACCCATGAGACAAGGATGTGAAGCGGACGACCGGGGGTGGAACGCGAGTCTACAATGGAAGCGACGGCGGCATGAGTGGCTGGAAATGAGCTTCCTTTGTGGATCATGGTCTGTGTGTGGAGCCATGGCGCGAGCGGCTACGCCATGGCGCATGGATGCTCCAGAAAATGCGGATCCAGGCGTGCTTCACCCCTGTCCGCGTGACAAACCTCCGATCGCGTCACGACAGCCCGACGGACCCCTGCATTCCCGCCTACCCGCCTCGTGCTGCCGCCAAAACCGCAGAACAGGCTCGGTAAATGGCAATGTGCTCGGCCGCTGGCGGCACGAGAAAGGGCATTCTGCTCGGTACCTACGTTCTTGGATGCTGCACCAGCTTCGAGGTAGCAATGATGTTTCCTTGGTATGAGCGCATGGGAGCTAATTTACCGAGCCTGTCAGCTGTTGTACCTGAAGCCGAACCTGAAGCTGCCGTACCGAACCTGGAAGCTGCTGCACCGCACCTGGAAGCTGATCCCGCCCGGGTGATGCTTCTCCGCGAAATGCTTCTCCGCTTGATGCTTCTCCATGTACTTGGCGCGCTTCCCGCCCCTCCCGTCGCCATGCGCACACGCGATTCCCTGCGAAACCAGGTTACCAGTCTCGCCAACCACGGAAATCAGCTTCACCGAACCTGCTCCAGAGCCTGATGCCGAAGCTGCGGCCAGTGCGGCGCTGGCCCCCGAGCCTGAACTCGAGGTTAGGCCGAGAGCGGCAGACGAGAGGACCGTGGGGCCGTGCGATTCGAATGCGTCAGCGGAGGCGACTCGCGTGCTGGACATGCACTGCAGGGACGGCAAGGCCGCTGCGAGAAGCGACGCCATTGATTACGACAATATGTGACAATACGAATCACGAATCAGGAGCTCCGGCGTGACAAAATAGGTCAAATTTGGTCGCCGCTGCGACACTGCTCCGTCAAAATACAAGAGTCGGATTCCCGCGGACCAGGAGGGCTGATCAGAACGAGCGGGTTCGCCAATATGGCGAAAAGAGCTGTGAACGATTGACCAGGGATGCTGATAAAGGTGAGGCTCTGTGCTTTCCAGTGGAAGGGAAGGCCAGTGAGTGTGGAGTGGAAACAGAAGGGAGAACAATGTGATATGAAAATCGACGATGAATCGGTCACTGCATGACGAATCCTACGGCTGCAATCGAGCTGGCCTGGTCAGGCAAGGCGAATGATGAAGCAAGAAATGGAGCAGGCTGAATTATGGAAACAGCTGAGTTGCGGCTGGTCAGGGAGATGTGATGGCTGGCCATGTTGAACAAGCATGACAATGGGTGACGCCAGTGGGATGGATCATGGGATACAAAGCAATGAAATACGTTCTAGTAGGTTTGAAGAGGGTGCAAGCAGTTGTGGTGGGAAAAAGATCTGTTGGAGAGGAACATAATGTTGCAGCAGGGAGGAGATTGGGGGAGGCAAAGGTGTGCATGACGCAGTGAAGTGGGAGGATCTTTTTTTGTTGAGGTGGTGTAGCCAATGGCGTGCTCGGCACATGCTGCCCGAGCTACCTGTAACCAGTGGCACAATAAAGGGGTCAGCTTGAGCACTCTCTAGAAGCGCATCTTCACGCACGAGAGAGGGGCACTGGGGACTGGTAGGATGTACCCATGGCTTTTTCACACGTGCTATGTTTTCATATCAAACTGCTCGAGTAGTCACCCTTGTTTGGATATTTTAGGGGTTATTGAAAACACAAACATACTTCGTTTCCCTGAAACTTTAGTGAAATGTGACGGGTGATAGTGATAGAATTTATACGTTTCGAGGGCAGGGCGGATACCGCCGCTGCGCGCCAACTGTCCTTTGAAGCCTTGTTTCCAGATGGGCGGAAACCGACAAAGAGACCATGGCCCGAAAAAGGGTGCGACATGCTAGGCACTCCAGTAGGGCAGTTCAGGTGAGTTGGTGCGAATAGGTTGGGGAAACACAGCCCGACACAAGAGTCCCTTGTGCAAACGCGCACCCGAAAACCCTATCCACTCTAAAGTTGCTTACGTCAAGTATATTGTTTATGACGTGGAAACACACGCAAGATCCTCAATCGGCGCCTACAGTTCATAAGAACTCGAGCAGTGTCATTCGAGGAAGTCCAGTTTCTCTGGACATTCGCGTGGGACGGACTCCTCTGATGACATGAATGGACGTGGATCGAGAGGGTTCTGACGTGTAGCAATGGGTGCGACTGGGATATTCTCTAAGCCGCTTCATAATGGGCTCAGGGCTGTCGAAGTAGGGGCATTTTCCCTTCATGCCCTAAACATTCCGTGTTACGTTTGTAGCGCCCCGACCATTTATAGTTTTTTTTTATTCGCTGGCACCTGGGTTTTGTTTAGCACTTCCTCTGTATCTAAGCAAATCTGTTGTTATAACTGAAGGATCGTAGTGAATAGGATAAGTCTGTCAAGTTTGAGAGAAGACAATGAAGTCGATGTAAACGACATTGTTGATAAATTGAAAGAGATCAAGATGATTAAAGGATAGTGATACAAGGAATAAATAGCAATCCTAGCTAGCCATGTACTTTGAGGGGTACATTCCCTTATTAACTAAATTGCATTGCTACAGTAACCACAACTATTACTATTCTTGATAGTTACCATGTTACAGAGCGTAACTACCAAGTGCGGTTACTGTCAGAATACAGTTAGGAAAGTTAGAATGGGAAAGGAGAGTTTGCACTAGCAGCAGTTGAGATACATATAGGAAACCCTAATTGGGTTGTACTCGCTATCGAGTACCCCACTGCAGGCTAGACAATTATATTCCCCCCCATTCCGTCGCCCGTCGAGGCGCCTAGGGGGCCGCGCGTCCCCCTCCTTCTGTCGCCCGTCGTGGCGCCACGGGGGCCGCGCGTCCCCCCCCCTGTTCGTGTCGTCACGTCGCGACGCTCTGAGGAGCCGCGCGCGGCCCCCGATTCCCCGTCGCGCGGCCCCCTGCTGCCCCGTGGTGGCGCCCTGGGGGCCGCGCGCCGTCCCCCCCGCCGTCCCCCGCGCTCCTACCCCTTGCAACCCGTTTTAGGGTTTGGGGGTGAGGAGTGTGGGGGTGGCGGTTGTGGGGGTGCCCGTTGTGTGCGCCGTCCCCTACTCCTCCTCCTCCTCCGTCTCCCGCTGCTGCAGCTGCCGCTCAGGGGGGTGTGTGTGTGGGGAGCCGAAGGAGTGGTGCTAGGGGGGTGAAGGGGAAGTGGAGCTAGGGGTGAAGCAGGGGGTGTGTGTCAGGGGGGGTGGGACTGTTTGGGGAGGCTGAGAGGAGGCTGCCGTCTTGTCGTCCGCAGCACCTGTAGTCCGGGGCGCTGTCCTGGTAGCCCAGAGAGCCTGCTGCGCCTGTCGCCCGTGGGTCCGTTGCTCCTGTAGCTCCTCGTAGCCCGTGAGCCAGTTACTCCAGTAGTCCGGGGCGCTGTCCCGGTAGCCACTGTGCCAGCCGCTCCTGTTGCCCGTGTGTCTGCAGCTTCAGCCGTCGTCTCCCATCTTCTCTCCTCTCACAGTCCCTCCTCCTCCTCACTTGCCCGCTGTGACTACCACTAGCTTTGCTCATAATTGTGAACTACTGCTATGCTTGCTCATTGTGCTGATTACACCCCACTTTGGCTATGGGGGTGTGTCAGAATGTTATTATTGTCTAGCCTGCAGTGGGGTACTCCATAGTGAGTACAGCCCAATTAGGGTTTGCTATATGTATCCAACTGCTTGCTAGTGAACCCTCTCCTTTCTTCATTCTTGTTTCTACTTCTCATTCTTGACAGCTACCTCCACGCAACCTCCTCCAACTGTCCCACACCCCTTTCACACACCCCCTGCTGCACCCCTAGCTCCACTCCCACGACACCCCCCTAGCGCCACGCCCTCGGCTCCCACACATCCACCCCCCTCAGCGGCAGCTGCAGGAGTGGGAGACGGAGGAGGAGGAGGAGCAAGGGGCGACACACACACCCGCTACCCCCAAGCCCGCCACCCCCACACCCGCCACCCCCATACCCGCCACCCCGCAATTGCACGAGGGCAGGGGGCTGCAAGGGCGGCTCGCGGGCTGCAGAGGCGGCTCGCGCGGGCTGTAGGGGCGGCTCGCGGGCTGCAGGGGCGGCTCGCGGGCTGCAGGGGCGGCTCGCGGGCTGCAGGGGGGGGGGGGCAGCGCGCGGGCCCCCGAGGGCGCCTCGATGGGCGACGGGCGAGGGGCGCGCGCGGGCCCCCGAGGGCGCCACGACGGGCGACGGGAGGGGGGGGGCGCGCGGGCCCCCGAGGGCGCCTCGACGGGCGACGGGAGGGGCTGACATGCGGGCCGCCGAGGCGCCACGACGGGCGACGGGAGGGGGGGGGGCGGGCGCAGGCCCCCAGGGCGCCGCGACGTTCAGGGCAGGGCGGTGCGCGGCTAGCAGGGCGGCGCCACGGGCAGGGCAGAGCAGAACGCGACCAGCAGGGCGGCGCGACGAGCAGAAAACCGCTGCGCGCCCCGAGCGCACGGCGGGAAGAAAAACCGCCGCGCGTCCGGAGCGCGCGGCAGGAAGAAAACGTCGCGCGCCCGAGGCGCGCGACAGGCAGTGCAGCAGCGGAAGCATTGGGTGGGCCCATCCACAGGATCGACCCAGGGGGGTCGACCTGCTCTGATAGCATGTCAGAATACAGTTAGGAAAGTTAGAATGAGAAAGGAGAGTTTCCACTAGCAGCAGTTGAAATACATATAGGAAACCCTAATTGGGTTGTACTCGCTATAGAGTACCCCACTGCAGGCTAGACAATTATAACATTCTGACAGTTACTGCGGAGAGTCACTCTACAACGGTAGTGAGCTAGACTACCGGGTTG